TAATAATAATATATTATACTTTATTATTATTACCACCAGCCCTACCTGGGCAGATATTTTTAGTTATTAGGCTGTAGGCAGCTGGGTGCCACAGCACAGGTTGGTCTATGGAGAGAAGAAAACCCCAGAGAGCAGCAGGTCAGGCTCTCTGCTTGGGAGACAGAAATGTGTGTGCTTTCTGCTGTCTGGGAAAACACTGATTGCAACAAATGATCTCACACCTTTGTGATCAGGCTGGAAAAAAAGCCTAAGATATTTCCTCAACCAAATGATACCTTTGATAAAATGAAAATGGGTTTTAATGGAACTGGCTCAAACCACACAGTAGCTGTAACGCCATGAAAAATTTAGACATGTCGCATCTTAAAGAGCAGCTGGGCTAAGGCCTTGGGTGGGGGTATGGGATCTTCCATATTGAGTTCCTTAATTCAGAGCAAGCAAAAACCTTTCTACTATTCTGTGATCTTTTGTTGCATGTTTCTGTAGTGGTGAGAAAACTGGGACATCAGTTGTGTGAAGGCACATTCAGCTTTTGACGGGCCCTTAGCAGTGCTTATGCACCATCTGTAGGTGTGATGCTCCCACAGCAGCTGGGAGACAGCGTGAAAAGAAACACTCCTCCTCCCACTCTGTCACATCCGAATGACTTTAAGTCTCTCACTTTTGCTGTTTCAAAGGGAAAAAATATATTACTAGGTAGAAGTTTGATTTACACCCGAGAGCCTGGTCCTGGGCCTCTGAGGTCTGTAGGCAGTAGCACTAAGTGACTCAAAGGGTTACGTCTGACCCCAGATCCTGTCTGTGACTCTGCAGGACGTTGCACAGTTTGTAATGTGTTTCAAAACTCTTGTTGCCATAGCTGGAAAATACTGCTTTCACTGGTGGTATGCAGTGTCTGTGGTTGACTTAATCCAGTAACCTCTGAGCTTTGAACATTCATTGTTATTCCCATAATTTAAAGAAATCCTCTTTAACTGAAACTTGAAGCAAGGGCATCAGAAAAGTGACTTGTTTTGTTTTTAATATTGATTTCTTTATCTTTCTAGGGTTATAGATGATGAAATTGAGGCCAATTTTGAAGAGGTATATCTTAAGTTAAATGTTTTAAACTGAGATAATTTTGTCGTAAATAAGTGGGGTTGGAGTGCCTGTTCCCTGTGCAGGGCAGCATTTTTCTATAGGCATTGTCAAGAACTGTTGTCCCACTTTGGAAACAGATCTTTCAATATCCGTAGTTGAATGTCCAGCAAATGGAAACATGTGTTGTCCCTTATCCAGAGTGGTGAGCTTGGGCTTGCCAGGTAGAGGAGATGAGGTACTCTGCAGAGGTAACTGGAGCCACGGGAAATTCCTTGTGCTCTCCAGGAGTCTGGGAGTACAGTGCGTTAGCCATAGGGGTGTTTTTGCCTGTGGTGTTATTTCCATGAGTAAGAAGTGGCTCACCATATGTTTAGTCTTGCTGGAGCTGGGGGTGTTTCGCCTACTAATGCATCTACCACTCTGTGTGTGTGTTTTTTTCTTTTCTTTTTCTTTTTTTTTCTTTTTTTTTTTTTTAAGCATGAGAACTACATTTTGCTTGCTTTTCTTTAATGAAGACATCTAGTCCAACAGTAGTAGCAGCAGCAGCAGCAACAGTGAAGTTCTGAATTTGGTAGTGATTTTTTTTAAATAAAATAAAGACTTTTTTACATTTTAAATTTTGGTTTTTAGTAAAAGTCATTGCGAAAGTTCTTAATTCCTGCAGTGTTTGCAATGCCAGCATTTTGAGGTGCCCTGAAGATAAAACTGGTTAAAGTCAAAGTAAAAGCACTCTGTACCTTCAACTTTGCTATTTAAATTGTGTTCTACTAGGGGCAAGGAAATGCATTAAGTCCTTCTCAGGCAGAAAAGTTCCTCCTTTCCATATTCTCTATTTCTCTTTTCTAGACTGAGATCAGTGAAGATGACATTGAACCCAGCTTTAAAAAGCTTTTTGGACAGCTAGCGGGAAGTGTGAGTATTTTTCTGTTAACATCTCACTGGTAACATGGGTGAGTGGGTAAGAGAGATGCCTCCCCCAGGATGGAGTTTAATTCTTGAGCTGAGTCAGGTCTTGAGCATGTGCATAATTGTGCATGCAAAAATCTGTGTAGTTACCCATCTGCTTACACAGTGGATTTGTGAGCGCTCCTGGCGAACAATCTCTGCTCTCTTTGAACTGCAGGCTCAACTTTTATCTCTGCAGGTCCCTAATTTTGTTCTTCAGGCAGAGCATTTGGTGCCAGGTGCATGGGTCCGTCCAGGAGATGATGAGGGCTGGGCTGTGCCTTCTCCCCAGGCTGCTCTCGCCTGCCTGAGGGCTCAGGCAAACCCCACAGCCCGGCCTGCTAACATGCACGGCAGGGCTGTGCTACTGGGACTTGGTGGTACTACTGGGAATGGGGGGAAGTTTACCACTTGCATTTCCATCCAAGGGAAACTTGAACTCCAAGGGATGTTTGGACGTGGCCAACTGACCCAAAGGCGTTGGAGGCTGCTTATGAGATGGTGTCTGCAGCTCACAGTGAAGAACTTGTTTTTTCCTCTTTACCACAGGATGCAGAGATCTCCGCCTTCGAACTGCGCAACATCTTGAATAAAGTCATGGCTAAACGTAAGTACCTTCCTCCAACTGCGTCTTCATTTGGCCACCAGCAGGTTTCCAGCATGGCCGTGAGAGCACAGAGCGCAGCACTGACCTGGGCAGAATCAAACCCCTCGGCTCTGCCCCAGACCTGCGGCTTGGCTCTCCGTACGGCCACGTGCTATCTCTGCTCCTTCAGGGGCTGCGGAAGCTGGGGCTGTGACTGCGCTGAAGGCGTGTTTCACAGGATATGCGCTTTGGCAGGGTGCATATGGGTGCCTTTTAGCCCAGCATCTGCTAATGGGAATTGGCTGCCAGGAAGATGGATGGATTTGATTAATGCTTGACAATAATCAAGAGAAGGTATTGCTGCTGCTTTAGTATTGAACCATTCAGGATTCAAACAGTAGCCGAGCCAATGGTCTGGGGTGTCCCTGAGGAGGAGGAGAAACTCTGAAACTCTGGGCTTCTTTTCCTGTGAAGTGATTCAGAGCTTGGCTCTGCATTATTTTCCTTTCCATTAAACAGTGCTCAAGAAATAAGTGCTTGGAGAAGTAAGTGTCTTTCTAATTTCCAAAGTGAAATCTTAGCCAGGTAGCCAGGACTGTATTGTATGTATGTGTGCACCAGCCGGTTGGCAATGGTGTATTGCTGGTTACCAAGCTTGATTTGATGTTCTTCCCTTGCATGAAGCTACCTACCACTGAGCTCCATAGGTCAGAAGTCCATGTTGTCTCCAAAAGTCCACCCTTGTCTTTGCAGGCAGACAATAAGGGCAGGAAAGCTTTATCTCTGTCTCTTGCTTCTGTAGCACACCTACAAACGAGACTAACTGGGCTGTTTGCTTGGGGAAACATCACAGCGAATTTTCACCCTCTTTGTTAGGAAGTCAGAGGGCTGCTTATTAGCATCCATTTGCCTGCCTCGGTGCTGCGTCCCTCTCCTGTGCAAAACAAGGACCATCTTATGGCCCTTGCCAAGAGCCTTGTAATTCTTGCTCATGTGTCCTCCCACCTGAAGCTCTCCCTTGCTGGCAAGTCCTGACCCCACTGACCACACCTTTAAGCGAGCATTGCCTCCGGCTCTGCTGGGTGCAAAGTTGTTGTCACAAGTCATAGCTTACCTCAGCAGGGGTACCTAAGCAACATAAGGCAATGGTTTCCCATCCAGCGTTTGAGGGAACTGTAGGGTTATCTGTACGCAGGTATCCTGACTACAGCTCTACAGGCACCACATCCTCCGCAGTCTGCATTGCGTTAGGTACTTGCCAGATCCCAAAGGCTTCAGATAATATTAATTCCCAGAGCAGGAGGCAGGTGTCCCCCGCTGCTCACTGCGCTCATCTGGCCCAGACTGTGGCAGCGATACAGCTGGACACCTATTCCCAGGGGAGGATTTGAAGTAGGCAGCAGATTGTCACTGAATAACTAGCAGGTATAGAGCACTAAACACACATTATGTAGAAGCAAAAACCACACCAAAATAAAAAAAGTCATCTTGCGAGTTGCAAAGGAAGCCACCAGTGACACAGAAGCAAATAAGGGTTGAGGTGTATATGCTGGTTACAGTGCTCATGAGCTATTTTGGAAGGTGCTGTGGTATAGCATGTGATGATAATCCTGTCTTTTGCTTTTTCTTTACAGGCAAAGATATTAAATCTGATGGCTTTAGTATTGAGACGTGCAAAATAATGGTTGACCTGTTAGATGTATCCTTTAAGGCTGTTCCTAGACGATATTCTGTCTGTGCTGGAGTAGGTGAGCTGCTGCCTTTGCAGTGGCGGGTTCCATACTGATGTACTAGTGACTCCTGAGGTGGAGAAGCTGGTTTTACCCTGGTTCCCCTGAATAAAAATGGTAGCCCTTGCGATTGCTGCTCACCCTGGCACATGCCTTCTCCAAGGCAGCAGGGAAAATCCATTTTCAGACAGGATGATCTGCTTTGAAGTCTTCCCAGCTGTTGCATGTTTGGTTTAGCTGGGGACAAAGTGATGTTTGTGTTGGGAAAAGGCACCTGGCTCTCAGCATGGTGCGGATAGCCTTGGCTGTAGAGTTTGAACATTGCATTTCAGTGCTTTGTTATCTGGCTGGAGTTGGTGAGGGCATCGTAAAGCCATGAGGACTTAGCAAATAGAAAATGAGGGAAACAAATACAGGAGCCCGAGAGTATGCTGGCTTTTAGGAGCTTCTACTCCTAAGAATAAGGGCAGAGGCGTAGGATGAAGGATTTGAGTCTAAGAATAGTTGCGTTCCGCTTCTTTGTGCAGTGGGAGTTGAATTGCATAGTCAGAAAAAGGGAAAATTACCAAAATGGAATGATGCTCTGCTATAATTTGGTGTAAAATACAGCAGTCTGTAGGGACTCCTTAGCGGTTTTTGGGAGCAGTGCAATGACCAGGTTCTTTTGTTAGCTGTTTGTGCAAGAACTTAAGTTCTCCAAATAGCAGGCTTGGTTGTGGCTTTTCCTGTTTATAATCCAGACTTAGGACTCATGCTCCTGTAACTGCAGGTGTTGAACCAGCTATGCAGAACAAAATGGCATCATCTCGGCTGTTTTATACATGTGTTGAAAAGAGAGAGAGCTGCTAAAGGAGGAGCAGAAAGAGCTTGTGAACTGATCACAGTTTAAATGAATCGATCATCTTACTGATTTAGAAAGACATCTTGGATAATTGTATATTCAACAGGATGAGTCCTTCAGAGAGGACTTGCATCCTTTTCTTAATTGCAATCTTTTTTTTTTTTTTAAGTATTAAGTCACAACTGCCTGTGTAAGTAAACCCAGCACAGGGAGGGGAAACCCCTTTTACTTCCCTTCAAATTCCCTTAACTCAAAGAAGAATGATGGGAGTGGTAAACTGGGATTGAAGGAGTTCCACACCCTCTGGACAAAGATTCAGAAATACCAGGTAAGATGCAACCTTTTTGGGAGAATGCGCAATCAAATGTAGAGGTGGCTGTAGGCTCGTTTGCCTCATACAGTGTGTACAATCACACTTCCCAAAGCAGGGACTCTCACCAGCTCACGATGCATTTGTGTCCTCAGTCCCCCAGGTTTTGTCCCTTGAAGTCCAGGGGGATGACTGCTTGTCCTTTGGGTGCTTGGGTGAAGGGCTGAAGGAGAGGCTGCCTCTCCTGCCTTACTCTCGGAGGGGTTTCTGTTTTGTTTTGACTCGCATCCAAATATGTTTAGCCTTCCCACTTAACAGTGCAAGTTTGGTGTCGGTCTTCCTGCTTGCTCTGGTGGCAATAGTGCAATTTTGCATGGGTGTTCAAGGAATTCTCCGGAGTCTTTATCTGCTCTGGCTGTTGCATTAAAAAGACTTACGTTCTAAAGCCGCTTTTAGATGAACTGGAGTATAAGGACTTAGTCCTTCAGACAGATGTTGCAAACGGTCCTGAACAGTATGCAGGCTGCATTTCAAAATGTTTGACTTCAGACTGAAGCCAAAACACGCTCTGAATTATTGACAAATTTTGACTTTGGGTTTTGTGTTCTACAGAAAATTTACAGGGAAATTGATGTGGATCGATCTGGTACCATGAATTCATATGAGATGAGGAGAGCGCTGGAAACAGCAGGTATTTGTATTGGTCTGTCTCTTTTTAGGATTATGTCAGTTTCAAGCTAGGTTGATAGATGCTCACTAGTCTCCTGTATATCACTTTTAAGCTGAAAAATCCTGTGTTCCCAGACCTGAAACGCCTAGATGTTCAGCCTGGGCTCTTGTCTTCATGCAGCAGTGCCTTGCCACGCAAGCACCCTAAAAGCATCTCAAAGGAGTGACAGGTTTGCAGTTATTTTCTTTAGTGACCAGCTCTTGGAGAAGCACAAATAACTGCAACAATCTGGTCTCATAACAGCATACTGTTGTTTTTCGATGAGTCTCTCTGGGTATATGTGGGTTTGGCATAAGCCGGTAAAACCAGGATGCTGTGATCTAGGGAATGGAGGTGGCTTGACCAAGGAGTGATGCTCACAAGAGCCTTAAAAGAAGACTCAGTATGCTACTGCAACCACTGAAAAGCAAATCTGAGTTACGACAGTGAGTGAGATTTGAGAATTTGACCAAAAGTAGCTAACTGAATTTCTGGCAGTGTATAAGGCTGGGGTTTTTTTGTTGGTTGGAGCTTTTTGCATTTTTTTTTTCTTCCTCTCTTTTTTTAAATCCTCGATACTGTATTTTTAGGGTTCAAACTGAACGGCCAGTTACATCAAGTCATTGTGGCTCGTTTTGCTGATGAAGACCTCATCATTGACTTTGATAACTTTGTCCGGTGTTTGATTCGGCTGGAAACCTTGTTCAGTGAGTACGCGCTTAATAACTAGACAAACTCTGTTGCTTTGTGTTCTCAAGTCCAGGATAAGTTATTCAGAAAACTTTGTACTGGAACCAAAGTGACTTCAGAGCTGAGCTATAAATCTGGCAACCCAGTCTGCATGTTCCTCCTAGATCTAGGAACCAGCCTTTTAGGTCAGACTGCTGAACTAGAGCCAGTCAGTCTTCCATGCAAACAACTAAATGTTGATTTTTTTTTTTTAAAAAAAAGTAAACCCTTATAGATTGACAAATAGTGTTAGTATGACAGACTGAACCATTAAAAATGTTCAGTCTTGTTCTTGCACACGAGCATGCAGTGACTTTGGAGTGGCACTTTCCGGTTTGGGGTGTAGACCGTTGTCATGAATTTTAGACTGTGGGACTAAATTCCTTTTTGATTCTGAAGCACAAAGAAGGGGAAGGCTTTCCAATTAGTTCCTATATTCATCCTTGCCTGTCATCTTTCTCCTACCACAGAAATGTTTAGAAAACTGGATACTGAGAAAACTGGAACGATAGAATTGAACCTTGTTAATGTAAGTTTGTTTATCTCCAAAAGGGTTTTTTTAATCTTTTTTTGGAGAGGGAAAGGGATTAACAGGAAACTGTCCGGCTCCATTTTGACTGATTATGGCTGGTTAAAAGTATTCACATATATGCTGGATTTATATAGCTTGTGTATTTATAAGCAGTCTTAAGAAAGGTTACCCTTTTTAAAAATGTACATACATCACATTGTATTCTCTAACAAACAGACAAGGTTACTTAAACCTTACTGGCAGTAATTTTGGCTGATACGTATGCAAGGCTTCTTCCCTGCCTCTTCTGTCAACAATAGGGTAAAATGTAGGTGCAGTAGTGACTCATGGTATTGACCGTGTCTGCTTCTTTCTGCTCTGTGTGTGTCCTGTAGAAAGGACTTAAGTTCAGAGAAAGCTACCCTCCTACGTGTGTTCAACTTGCTTATTGCCCAAGCATAACTTATTTCTGGACCTAAATGAGGAATGCGCAAATCATCCCCAAACTCTTCTGACTTGAATGATTTAAATTTATATCTCATTTAAGACAGATCCTAAAATTACTTCTGTAACAATAGACTTTCTTCCTCATGCTAGAAATGGGAACATGCATACTTGCTACAAGTATTTTTACTAAACTTAACCTTGGGCCATTTTCCTCTCTCTCTCTCTCTCTCTCTCTCTCATTATAGTGGCTGTGCTTTACTGTCATTTGAGCCACTGACATCAGCTCAAGCGACCTCAAAAAGACCAGATCATGTGAAGATAATCGAGCATACATGTAATATCCTAACAACATGAATGTGCCTTAACTTATGTATGGCAAACTTTGCACACAGTTACAAGAAGGAAAACATTCTACTTCAACAACAGAAGAATCTGCAACCTCAATTTTATGGGTCTAATAGTCTTTACTACTATATATCCTCTGTACAAAAGCTTTAATTTAGTATAAATCCTCAGTGCAACTTTGAAAATACTGCTTTGCTAATCTTTGTATTTAAGGTGTTTTACATTGACTTCTGGAAGAAAGTTCATTATGGCTTGACAGGCTGGTTTAATAAGTGCTTTTTTTGACTAACAACAGCTCCACTCCATCCTGTGTAGCTGAAACTACAAAAGGGATGGTATTGCTTATCTCTGAATACAGGTGTTTAGGTAAGATGTGGGTCCCTTGTATGCTTTCTGTCAAGCCCCAGCATTATTCTGGTTAAATATTCTTTGAGTAGCAAGTACATGGTTGACCAAACTGAAGGACGAGTCTCTCCATCCTGACCATTGATGTGCCTGTAGCAGGAGGCTGTTGGCAACCAGACTCTTCCAAGAGCAAGCATGTGCTCTCAGGTGGACTCTTGATTTCCTGTATCTTATTTATCTTCCTTTGAAATTCAAGAAAGTATTTAAATAAAACCAGTAGAAATAAAGTTTGTAAGACTTATTCCTTCTGCAAATAAGCACATTTTTTTTCCTTAGAGCATCTGCAGAGCTTTTGTTGTCAGGAACAGAGTATGCTGCCTTTTAAAGGGGAAAAAACAGCATTCTGGTGCCAAGTAGGCACTGACAGACAAACTCTGGCTCTGTGTCAGTTAGTGAAATGTTAATAGTCTGATACTTTATCTGATGCTTTAAAAGATCAATGCTCAAAAAACTGAAGGTTTCCAAGAAAGGTAATTGATACTATATACTCCATACCCAACCTATTAAAATCATGAGGCTGTGAACACGAGCAGATTGCTGCTTCTACAGCAGACTTACTGCCCCCTCCTGAGGAATTGTGTCTTCCTTCCTACAATTTCTTGTATTTATGGCCACCTTTTCAGAAAGCAGTAAGGACTTACCTAGTAGGAAAACACGAGCCTGAAGGGTAAGGCACTTCATAAATAGCCTTAAGGAAGGATTTGATTCTCTCTATTAAACAGTGTTCATTATCAAAATACTATCCTTTATACTATCTATTTGGGAATACTTCCATGGGAAAGGCTTTATTTGGAAAATACCTGTCCAAGTTTTTCTCATATGTCCCTTAGCTTTTAATGTTAACAAAGGTTACATGCAACTAACCAATCGGGCTTAGTTTTAAATGTAGAAAGACTGTCTTCAACAAAGGAGGGGAGGAAGGGTTCAATTTAATACAGAAAGTAGTTGCATGTTAATGTTAAGTGTTCTACATTACACTCTCACATGGTCTAATAAAAACTTGACACTAAAATACCCAGAGTTAAAGCTTAAGAGGAGACAAAAGTTTAATGGTATCACAGTCAAGTAAAAACAAGTAAGTTGTCAAGGACTACAGAAAGTTTCTACACTTAGTTTTCAAAGTACAAAATACAATAAATACATGAGGCTCTTTGTAAAAAGAGGAATCTAAAAACTACATTGTCTGTTACAGCACATACGTAATATTTCGAGTACATGGAATTCCTAAGATGCTACAGCATTTTTAAAAGTTATTGCTAATGGATTGGTCACATGGTTGTCACTGTTCAGATGCACTTCAGCTTAGCTTCTTTAACAAACGTTCTGCTTCCAGCAATAAGCATTTGGGTGCTGTGCACGTACTTTATTTTAATTTCTCCCATCTGGAAAAAAGCCTCAGGATAAATTTGGACAAAACCAAGTTGTCTGTTTCATGATGATTTCTGCAATGTAAATTGAAAAGGTCCTTGTATTTAACGCAGAAAAATGTGAAATTCTTTTCTGCCATGTTTGAAGAAATCAGAGTGGGTACTTGAACATAATGGCTCGCTTAAACCAAAGGCAGCAGAATTTCATTTGCTTGCAAGCATTATTTCATCTTGTAGAATGCCCTCATCCATTTGCTAATGCATCAATCCTTCATTTGTTTTCAAAGCACATTCTTCATAGCTTTCAAATTACATTGTCATTGAAATAAGTCTCATGATGTTGGAACCAACACAAAATAAATTTTTTTTTTGTAAGTCATCCATGATTAGTACTTCGAGAATCTGGCTTCTGTACTACTTCATGCCAAGCTTCTTTGTCTAGGTTTAATCCTTGGATACAGCTGGGGGTAAAATAGAAATGAGATTTAAAATTTTAGTGCTTTAAAAGGTTACTTTTTTAAAAAAAAAAAAACAACAACAACAAAAAACCCAACTCTCTTTGGTGCTACAATTCTACTGTAATCTCTAGTAGCAAAAGCGTGGTTATTAAAAAACCACCCAGAGCACTAACAAATATAAATTTAGCATTCTCAGGCAAGCTTAAAAAATACTAGCCATGTCAGTACAAAAGGAAGGCACTGAACAGCACATAATTCAGTACCTTCTTCAGCTCTACCCAGAGAGGTGGGCTAGGAAAAGCATGCGGCTTTGTAAGTCAAGAGACTTTTGTGTTCAGTGAACTATAAGATTTTTCCCTGTTTTATAAATGGAAAGAGAGAGGTATTAAAGTCTGTTTTGCTTTCTCTCTCTCAGTGCCTATCAGCCTTTACATATCTATAGCTTTGGGCAAGCTGGAAACACCTGGCTGCATAAGGACCACGGAACTGTAGGAGCTGCGCTTTAGTTAGTGGGTGGCCAGTTAAACTCATTTAACCGCCCGGCAGTAAATCAGTAGCTGCCACCCTGTGGGCCTTGAGCTATGCGCTATTCACACATTCTGGCTACGCACACAGAGGTACAGAGACTGCCTCGGCTGCAGGGTGACGACCGATGGGACACAGCTTGACACAGCGCACAGCAGTGCCAAGAGGCTTGGGAAGCTCTTGGCTCGCACTTGCAAAGGGCTTTGGGAACAACTACTGTTCTGCAAAGCACAGCTACTGGCATATAAAAAAATAGAAGGATACACTTCACACAATTAGGAAAGGTGAGTCCTCTATGCTCTGAACAGCAATGCATGTCTACATTACATCCTGGGTTTTTTTCCAGCTAAAGTTCTCATTAAAGATGCCCTCTTCTCTCTTCGACCAGACTCTGGCTTTCTTCTTTTTCATAGTCAGCTAATGATTAAGAGAAGACCAACAACTTCACCCACAAGGTTTGTCTCAGCCTGCTATGATTTCACCACTAGCAGAGATGAAGTCAGTCAGTCAGTTACAGTAGCATAACACCTGACAGTGTTCAAACAATTTTGTTTGGTACTAAGAAGTCAGTATTTTGACATTATTATCTGACTTGCATTCAGTTTTAGAGCTCTCACACGGCTTAGTGAGTCACTAAGAAGGGCAGAACGCTGATGCAGATAATTTCATCCTTTGGGTTTTTTTCAGTGCACCTAGCTCCAAAAGGATAAAGCAGCTGTGATAAAAGTACAACTTAATATAAGAATATATTACACTACCAAACATTTGCCTCTGTGCTGAACATCTTAGCCTAGATTTCAGCTGCTATATTAAGAATCCAGTAATTGCTTTTGAGAATAACCACAGCATACTTCAGTAGCAGCACTAGAACAACTGAACAGACACCAGAGCGTAACAGTTAATACTGGGCTTGGGTAATTTTCCCCAAAGGTTCTGTTCGGATTGTGTTGTGCTTAGAAGGATGAGTTGTGATCCCCAGTCTAAGCTGTGTTGCCTTGTGCTTTTTATTACAGAAGCACAGATGCTCCTCATGTTCTTACACACCTGTGCTCAGGCTGAGTGTGCAAGCTTATGCAGAAGCAGCACATGCACAATTCACCCTGGGGCAGGGGGAAGGAAAAAAAAAACCAAAAACACCCTGCCATTTCTGACCTTTCTGACCTGATTGTGCAGGACTGATGGCTGCTCTCAATTTAGAAATGTTTGCGTCTGGAGATAAAAAAAACTGAGCAGAAGTACTATATTAGGGAGAATTTTACAGTACATTGTGAGCAGGCCTGACCTGAAAGTGGTACAGAAATGAAAACTGATTTTGTGTTAGATATAGTCACCTTGCAAAATCTAACCAGTTTAAGAGTAAGGATTATCTGCATGAGGAATGAGGTTCAGCCTCTTTCAAGCATCATACATCAATCAGCTAAAATTCACAGTGGTTAATCTTTAGCATTGGCAAAACCTCTTATCTCCAGCAGCTGGGAAACTGGATATGTAGAAAAAAGCTTAATAGAATTTTTAAACTTGTGTCCATCTGCTATAGTTTTCTAGCAACTAAGCCATGAGAAGAAATATGGGGACATAACTGAAAATATCTATTATTTGTATATAGTTCTTTTTAACAGAAGAGGTAGTACAGAAGGTGATGAGGAAAGGAGAGGCCATTAATGCAAGGCCTTTGACATATGGTTAAATATTACGTAAAGAGCATAGGAGAAAACAAAGATCTGCCTTTATTTGGCAATCTGATCTCCTTTTCAACACTAGAAAAAGAAGATAACCATAGAATTTTACAGTGTTTGTCTCAAAACTCTCTGTGAAACGATCTCGGATCACAAGGTGCACTGTGTACACCCTGACAGGGAAGGACTTGTGACTCATTCTTCATACAAGTTTCAGATCTTAAGGTCCTTTGTGCCAGTCTACTCGCTTTCTAAAGGAAGAGAAACCCAGCTCTGTTCACATGCTCAACAAAACCTTATGCACACATCATGTTCACACAAAAGGGTTTTTTTCCTCTAAGATGGTGAGACAAGGTTAGTATTAGAACCTGCTGTGTATAGCAGGGTGGTGATACATGTTGTTCTTTTATGCACACATTAATATAATCTGTGTTAGGTATCTAAATGGAGGGTGTTAACCCACTCTGCCAAGGCATTCAACTCCCCAGATGAATAAATAGAGAACTTCAGCTCCTTCCTCTTGACTTCTGAAATTGCACCTGACCTAGATGCATGAGAATAATGCTGTGTATACTCCACAAAGTGCGGTGGGGTTTTTTTGATTCTGGAAATATCAAGGACTCACCCCTAGAAGGTTGCGGGGAACATAGCCTTCCTTGTCATTCAGCCGTGCCCACCACCACTCAATTTCATCTTCATCTTCCCGGCGCAGGATTGTCATGCAGTCTCCCTCTTTCATCGAGAGCTCATCATCATTCTGAGCCTCATAATCCCAGAGTCCATAAATCACTCCTTTGTTCATAATTCCCATTTTCTCCTGGACTCCTGCAACATTAAAAACACAGAGCAGCTCAATACAAAAGTTTAAAAAAGACGGACAAAAAGCCACACCCAACCACAACCACACAACCTTGATTCCTATCACACTTAGCACCTTGTTGCCATCAGCCTACTTAAAGTCAGTCCTGGAACAGGTGGCATTGTGAAGTTAGCCCTTGCACACAGCAGACAGATTCCGTCCTTACATGTGTTCAAAAACTATGAGGTAAATAGGGAGAAGAGCACTGATTGATAAAAGGTTATATTTTCATGCTAGTGTTCACACTTCCTACACCTAAGTGATGAGCAAGAAACACTTGTTTGTACTCTTGGTTCACCAGTAATCTCTTCCTGTCAAAGGGAGATAGCAATACCTGCTTATGTTGACCTCCATTGTAATTTTGCTGCTTGAGGTGTCATTTGCCACTCTTGTCACTTTATTTCAGAACTTTAAAACAGGGTGCATCTCAGACCTATAACTGAAAGATTTGTCTGCTATCCGCCAGCTGCTTTCAGTTAACTCACTTTTATCTTAGCAGTTCTTGAGTTCTACAATATTTTAATTTTTTTTTTAAGCACTGACACAGAAACACAATTCTGTTAAATTGCTTCTGGACAAAGGTGTTTTGGAGTACATGCATACACCTTGCAGATGTTATTTAGAACTTGCTCATCTTTGTAACCAAAGATGAAACACTATTCTTTCTGTACAAATTCCTCAGCTTCTAAGCAGCAAACCAGAAGAGGTATCTTAATCAACTGTTACACAAACTTTCTCTTAGGTAATTATTCCCTTTTAAAATACTGAACCCTACTGGGTTTTTTGTTTAGTTTTGGTATTGCCAGGAGCAAAGAGTACATTGCACTTCATATCACAAAACTTGTCGTTTCCATCTCTTACCTATTACAACCTATTGTATAGAACTCTTACCTAAGTCTGCTTAAGGAAGCATCTGCTCAAATCAAGTTCTTTATTTTTGCATACCAGCTCATCATGTAAAATTAAATTACTTGCACTGCATGCTTAGTTCTGCTCAGAGAAACTCTTCCCTTGCTTTGCATTCTGTATAATTAAAGGTTTGGTGAAAGCTGTGCTCTGCACCCATGTGGAAGGTAAGACTGAACATCAAAGCAGACAAAGAGAAGATTCACACAATGGATCTGGTCTTCTAAAAAAGTGTTAACAGTCACACCAGGGTAGCAGTACAAACATGGTCTTAGAGAACAGCACAGGCATTAAATCTTAGAAAGTGAAAAATTACATACTTAAGCAGCATCAGACTTGTCATTTAATCAATGCTAAAGGACTAGTGGTTTTATTTAAACCTATCCGTACTTGATATTCAATACTGTGCATCATTTACAACAAAAAGGAATTAGGTGAATCAATGAATTACACTAAGGTTTCTCACCTTACAGATGAGTTTAGAGGGCCAGGTTTTAGTGCAGTATCTGTTCTGGAAACAGACAGATACATATCCCCAAACTTCTTTTACAGCAAGAAACAGATTTAGCCAGTGAACTAATTTCTTACTGTAACTGTTTCTGGTTGCCTACAGTCTTCGCAATAGGATTAATTCCTAATGGAACAATATGGAAATTTGATAGCTGAACAACCTATGTATCAAGAGATACCTTAGTTTCAGTGGTTTCAATGTGGAAAAGCGGGCAATAAGCCAAAGCCTTACAGTCCTTTCATAACCCATTGAAGTATCTCATAACACAAAAAAAAAAAAAAATCCCAAACCCAACAAAAAAATAGAGTATCAAGTGAGATCACCGGATGGTGGGTTCAAAAATCCCCACAAACAAAAAGAATGTGTTTCTTCATGCTGTATATAATAAAGCCATGGATTTCCTTCCCACAGGATCTTGTGGGCTATTTATCTGAATTTATGAATTAGTCCAATTCCTGAAAGAAGTCTCTCAAGATTAATTCAACACAAAGATACCATCTCTTAACTCATATCAGAGTTAAAACCAGTAAGAAATATTGGACAAGTATTACTATTTTTAATCTAGTCCTACAATCTTTCTTGCGCATTTGCTGTTGATGACCACCATTGGAGCCTGGATACAAAATAAATGGAATTTTGCTTAGCCCACAGAATTCAACGTTAGTTAAATAGGCTTCCTCCTTTCATAGGGAAAACTATATATTTGGCACCAAGAGAGGCAGTTTTCAAGCTTAGTGAGGACAGCTGGACAGACTGTTTTGAAATATGGTGGCTGAGCAGCTTACAGAAACTCAGATCTCGCATGTTCCACAAAACCAGAAAGGCTGTATTACAGCTTTTTACACTGCATTACATTGCTATTACTCTAACGTCTTATAGATAGATGACACTCCAGCTGGTAGGTGCCTAGGGGACAAGAACTACATAGAAAACATACAGAAAAGTAATTTAAAACCCTGTTACGTACAAAACGTAAAGTAATTTAAAACCTCATTGACTAATACTCATCACAACCTAGGGGGAATTCATCCTCTCCGTTAAAAGATGGTTTCCCTGTTGTCTTATTATTTGAATAAAATCTAAATTTAATATGGGATTTCTTTTTAAATGCAAGAGAAGAAAGAGGCCAGAAAGAAAGTCAAATTCAGTGCCTACTAACCTCCATTAAGGCAGAAACTTGGCAATACCTTTCTTGGTTCTAAAGTACACACTAAGAAATGTTCGTCATTTAAAGACACTATGTAGCAAATATGAACTGCCTACTAAGATATTCATACCACTTTTGGTTTTATGTAAAGAAGTACTTAGTGGTAAGATTCACCTAATCGTCATCTCACACTACCATATTTGTCAATGCACATGCTTAACTCATTTCAAGGTTTCTAGTGAAGGGAAACCTTTTGTTACTCAGATTTCTTCAAATATTCAAGCTAGTTGAATATTATGAAGTTAGTCTCAATGGACCTCGCTCTGTGACAAGAAGCTGGCTAAAATCTGTCTCCTTCCAAGAGGAACCTGAGGCATGGGCACACAACCTAAGCATGGAACTTACCACCCCTCATCCAAAAACATACTGAAAAGCGCCAGGTGAGTCCCTAGCACGCTCCAGAACTCAGTTGTCATCACTTACCATATAAGAACTGGGAGCACTGTGTGTAGCCTTCCTCCATTTCCTCACACTTGTCTGCAGCTGTCTGCATGTCACTGTAGGTCATCGCAAATACAGCTGCACCTGACTCCACCAGGAACTTGCATACCTGCACATTATTGCAAGATGCTGCACAGTGTAATGGGGTCCTGCAAGCCAAGAAGAAAAAGACGACACATTACTTTTATTGCTCATAGCAGTACTTACAGACTCCTGGGGGCAAACCACTTTTGTATGCGACCTTCAGCAATCAGTACTGTATTGCTGAAGGCTTCCAACCAGAAGCACTTAACCCAGGATGTCAAGAGCAATTGCTTTTCACAGATAACAGAAGTTACCAAGAGCTGCTTGAGCCCGAAAGTGGGATTTCCATATGGACCTCTAGTTATGCTACCTTTTTATAATCCATTAGCATTTTAAGAACATTCATTAAGGCAATTAAAAAAAAAAATCTATAATAAAAAAACCACTCAGAAATCCTCCTGACATCAAGACCTGACTTGGTGACAAGTGCAGGTAATTGGGGTAACTACTGAGGTTTAGGGACAACAAGCATCTTTATTCAGTCTTGGACCTTAGACACTTTTGCTACAGGCAGAAATAGTAGTAAAATCACTGCCCCCCCCCCCCCCCCCCCGTCTTTTGTAAATAAGCTCCCTAGCTACCTGTAAGGATTTGTAACCCATTATCGGTTGCAAGCCTAGTTTGTAGGTTGTGGTTTTCTGCTTTGTTTTGAAGTTCTCCAAGTATTGGACAAAGAATGGAGGAGAGTTTGCAGAGCTAGATACTGCCCAGGGCATATGTAAACTATAGGCTATCACACAGAAAGGACACTGGGAATTTCAGCAAATAGCTCATTATGCATAAGCTGTCTTCAATATCTCAAAGAAACAGATTTCCTGACAACTGTATCCACCCTCCTGGGCCTCAGACACACACTTTTTTCTTACAGGGAATATTAGTATAATTTGCCCATTTTCTCCTCTGCACATTCTCATGTGATGCTCCACAGAGAGCTGCTGTTGCTCTGCTGTGGAAAAGTCACTGCCAGCTCTATAGGAGCAAAGTGAGGGACCTCGTGAGGAACCTGTAGCAGCCCCCACGCTGCAGCTCTCTTGTGGAGAGCACCTATAAGGTACCACTTAAAGAAAACTTTACCATCCATCACTATCTGCAGCATTCACGTTCACGCCAAATTGCACCAGGAACTTCACGATTTCCGTATGTCCAGCACACACAGCGTTATGCAGCGCAGTAATCCCTTCATCATTGGGCATGCTAGGATCTTCAACCTAATTCAGCCGGAAAAGAAGCCATTCACATTCTGGTGAGAATCTCTACAATAAACACCTCTTCACATATAAAAATGAGTTGTCTTATGCTGAAATATGATCTTGAGCCATATTTCTATGAAGGACATGAGCAACAGGCAGAAAACTACAGCAGTAACCAATCTCACAAGACGACTCACATATAAGCTTGCAGCCTCCTTTTGACAGTGAGAACCTAAAGTGGTTTAGAGAAATAGCATCTTGCTAATTTAGTAAAAGCATTTATAACAGGTTTCTGATATTTGCCTATTTAACTGTAAGAAAAACTCACATAGATTTTTCTTATCAGATTATCTGATAACATGCCAGATAGGGGATGAAACACTACGTAAGAAATGAGGAAAAAGTTACGGTCTTGACGCTAAATGTGGATTTGAGACTGTTAAAATCAGCCTCCAAGTGGCCACGTCCTCTTAGGACTTATCTCCTCAAGGGCATATCTACGTTGTGCACTACTATTTTGGCTTCCCCAGTCCAGAAAAGTTGTGACTTCCCAGTTTGAACCAGGATCACTATTCCTTCTCTTACAAATTAGCATTTGTACCTCATAAATTATTCTCTGCACGAGGTCAAACTCCCCCTCCAAAGATGAATCCAGAAGCAATGCGAGGGGATTGAATTTCACTCTCATTCCATGCCCAATTCTCTCAGAGCCAGTTTTACGCAAGTTCGTCCTCTTCCCCTGTGAAAAGGTAACACAAGTTACAGGCTTTTTTTTCCCCCCGGGAAGAACAAGAATACAGAATTGCTTATTTGGGAATGACAGCAGAAATTACCAATTAAGGAAGTGTTTAATATGAAATTTAGACTATTTTCTACCAATTCCCCAATACGTTATGAATAGAGTAGATTAGGCATGTTATAAAAGATCTCTGCCTTCATCTCTAGACATGGTCACTATTCTACTCAAAACCAGAAACCACCTTGATCAAACACATCATAAAAATCATAAAACTCCCAAATCCCTAAAGATCAGGGAAAAAAATGCAATTTTTTTTTGTATGCAGACGATTTCACCATTAGCTATCAAAGTTGTTACACAAACCAAGAACCTTAAAAGACTCCACAAAGTATGCTACTTTTTAAGCACCCATGTTAAGTTCCTAACATTTTTCTAAGCTTAGCAGAGTTTAAGAGGAACAGAAATAGTTATGGAAAACAGTTTTGGAAAGAATATAGAACTGAGTGTAGAAAGCGCTTTAGATGCTCCCAGTGATAGTGGAAACCAAGTGTTTGTACTCTTTCCTTCAGAGAATATGCACCCATTAGCTCAGCGCTCTCCCCAGCTGGCTGTGCAGTAGCAATAAACACTATTCATAAGGGTATGTAAATTTCTGACAGATGTCCAGGCAAAGATGAATAGAAATGACTCATGTTTTGCAAGAGCAAACATGTGAAGATAAGATACATAAGAAGAGATTCCCAGAAAATACTCTTTTGCGTGTTGATTTATACATAATATCAAAAAGTACAGGCTTGTTAAAGAAAGAGCCTGTCAGCACAACCCAAGTATTTAAATATGAAATCAAGAAGCTGGGCCGGTTTCTTCCCATCATCGCAGAATTATTACAAAACCAACCAGAAATGAGTTCTTACAATTTAGAAAATCCTACCACTCAAGTTGCCTCGTAAAAGGGAGCAAGGACAAAGTCTTAAAAGCATGAAAACATGACATGACTACTCCATGAAGACATTAGAAGGCTAAAAAGCACACTTAAAGCTTTTAACTGCTCAGCACTGAAGTGATGGAGGAAGAAAAACACTTTCATGTGTCAAGTTATTAAAATTCTATTCATGATAGGTTTTAAAAGAAAACTCTTTGAGGAACTGAAAGCAGTAAGGATTTCTGTTCTACAACAGCAAGATAACACTGTACCACACACACAAACTTCCAAAACAAACAAGGTGCTAAAATGCTGCCCACCCTTAGCCCAAAGAGACTCCATTTTGATGCAACTTGAGAACTGACTGATGTTAAATCAGGTTCCAAAGAAAAATTCAGAAAACATTTCAGTAGAGGAAGTGCAAGCAGTTGATCTGTACAAATGAGTTTTTAAAGCAGAAACTAAAGAAGTCTATTTCTCCATGTTTTTCAAGCAAGGAACTTTCAGATAAACAAATGTAATCCAAGATTAGGATAATTAGTTTCCACCTCATAACAGCAATAGGGGGAAACACTTGTGAAGTCTGTATGTGCCTAAAAAAAAAAAAAAAAAAAGAAAAAAAAAAGAAAAAAGAAGTTTGATTTCTCTTACAAAGGAAGTATAGTTTGGATGTAGTAGGCAGACTTCTGTATGGAATGGTCTTTACAGCCCAGAAGGGTTTTACTATTTGTGTATCATATTTCATTTGAAACTTTTTTCATTATCATTTCACTTCATTAATTCTAGAGACAACAGAGACTTTTCATTACTGTCACTCCCTCTGGAGATAAGAGCATCACACAAATAGAACAGATACCCACAGAGAGACTTCTAGCCTTTTTGTTCTCCCACATCTGCTTAAGCTCTACAAAACCACACGGGATTTATGGCAGAGCTTGAGATGACTTATTGACAGGGCACCCAAGCTGTAGGCTAACTAATACTTACAGGAGGCAAGGAAAACTGTCCAGTAACTTCAGGAGGCCTCATATTGAATGAGTCCTCTCCCAAACTCTCTGGTTCTCCTGATGGATAGGGAGGTGGTGGGTATGGAGGATATTCTTCCATGTATACCTCCAGTGGCAGTGATGCTTCTAGGCTTGGTTCTTCCATTTTTGGCTGTGTGAGTTCATCACTATCTGATGTTCCCTCAGGTACAGTGTCCAAAGCTACAGAGGGAAGAACAGCTTCACTCTGATCTGCTGGTGTGTTTTCTGCTTCCTCAGCAATAGCTGGTTCTGGCATAGAAGCAGCTGTTTCTTTTTCTGATTCTGTGCTTAGATAAGGATTTGGGATTTCTGCTGGGCTTTCAGGACTGGCAGCTGCTGCTGTCTGTTTAGAGGGATGTGACGGAGCTGAGATAGTCTCCATTGCAGCCAGAGTGGTCCTCTGATACAACAGCTTCTGAATATTTGGGCCATTAGGTCCTTCTGGCTCAGTAATGGAGCTACGTTTCTTCAGCGGTCTGGGTGCATTAGACAACTTTTTCCGTAGTGCTTCCAAATCAGCATCACTCTGGTTGCGGTATGGATTGGATAAGAAAGGCAGCAATTTGGTTGGGCTAAGGGGACGGGGTATTCGCTCTGTTTCATGATTCTCATGAGCAGAGGCTGTTGTTTCCATCTCAGGCTCTGGACTGCCGGGCTTGCCTTGGAGGTTTGAGTAGACGTTCTCCGTCTGCGGCAGCTGATTCTGTACACCAGCTCCTGCCATCACAGGCTTGCCATACACTGTGGAACAGTTCACAGAGGGGTGTAGAAAAAAATAATGGTGAATATTTGACCAACAAACCTAAGAAGAACACAAAACCTGATTCATCTACCTAGGGTGAAGAAGCAGAATAATAAAATCAACCAAACAGAATTAACCTGGTAACCAGGCTTACTATGATTAGTTATTTTGCAAATCCAAAATAGATATTCTGCACTTCTTCATTAACGTTGATATACAACATGCTAGACCCACCTAAGATTCCTACAGCTGCACTAACCTGCTTAATTCCCCCAGGGAACAGCTTTGTACCCACAGACCAGGTGGAAAGTACATCTATCTGAGGTTTATGAAGACAGAAGATACACTTACCACTTGGGAAGTGCGGTCCTCTGGTCTGTGCCCTTGTCAAAGCACTCTGCACTGCTTGCTGGAAGTTCTTCCCAGGAGTCTGCTGTTGTGTGTACATGCTATAAATTGAACTTGCAGCCACAGTTTGAGGCTTTCGAAATGGTGGGAGTGAGGTCTCTTTGGACGGCTGAGGGGTAAACGGTCTCACAGCTGCTGCTGGGGGACTCTCCTGTTTGGAGGAGGGAAGAATTTGGTCCTGGCTAGAGGAAGGACCTGCAGGAGGTACAGAAATTCTTTGCTGTATCTGCTGAGAAGGATGGGAAGGCTGCTGTGCTGCTGGTTTTTGTTTGCTCCCCACAGTTACAATAGCCAAAGGCAGCTTCTGCAGGTTTCCATCCAGCTTAGTATCAGAAGGTTGCAGATGACTGGCTTGACCAAAGTAAGGCAAGTTTATCTGTTTTGGTTTAGTGGGGACAGGTGGTGGTACCTTTGTTACATTTTTATTGGCTGTCTGAAAGACAAAAAAAAGTTAATTAAGATTAAACAGCAAAACATGTTTTAGGAATACTGCTGTGAAGACCCAAAGATCCTCAAAGAACCACACAGTATCTTGCATTTCTACTGTTGCCGCAATGCTGTTTACAACATCATTGGAAACATGAAGAGACTTCTTGAAACATTTTTATCATCATAGTTGTTTATACTTTGAACCCATTCTCTTTAATTCTTTCTGTAGCAGCTATGTTTAAAACATCAAGCAATGGCAGGGCACAGTAATTTCTCTAGAGATAGCAGAGGCATTTAGCAGCATCTGTAGGCAAGCAGCTTGTTTTCCAATGGAGCACTTGTCATCCCCAGTTCTTCTATGCTACTTGACCCCTACCTAATCAAATTGTGCCCTTGTGCCAAGATTTAGGTGGGAAGTCTTGCTGCAATCAAACATCTGAAGGACACTGCTGCATTAAACAGTGAAACAAGTGTGTAAATGATGTAAAAAACCCCATGCAAATGCCTCTGTGCATATAATCTTGGGGAAAAAAAAAAAAAAAAAGATACGCATAACACTAGTACAAGTAACAGCCATTTTTATGTATTCAGTCATAACGTAGATTTTCATCATAGTGACTGTAGGGAACGATTTTGAGTTACCAACTGCCATTAAAAGCCTAAAAGACATTTTTCCTTAGAAGCAGTCTTTTAAAAGAAGACCTAGGTACTTTTCAAAGAGCTTCCTGACAGCAGTATTTGAAAAGCTGTGCAGTAATCCCTGTCAGATGGAATGCAGTAGTTCGAGTTTCCTGCATACCTGCGCTTCTCGCAGGAGATCTTCGCTGCTCTGGTTCTTTCTCAGTGTGCCCAGCCCAGTAGACTGGTCCACAGAATCAAACATTGAGAATGGACGCACTTTCTTCTCTTTGTCTCGTAAAAAAGTTTCTCCTTCAGCTGTTGTTAGAGAGAGGGGAAGACTTTTAAAAGGGACAACACAATTATAGGAATAAGAGTCCTGTTCTGTGCAATATTCAAGACACTGTATGCAAGTGATGCTTTTTGTATCCATCCCACCCCTGTGCTAAGGACCCAAGGGCCTGCCAAATGCTGTATCTTGCAAATTGAACAGGAGCACGTATGAAGCCATTAGTATCTACTCCGCCACCTGAAACAAGTTTTGTTTGTTTGTTTTAAAATCCCTGCAACACCATACTAAAGCTTATATGGCAATATTCTTTGATATTTTTTTTTGTGCTCTTAGATGAATTCTACATGTTTCCTGAAGCATTTAGAAGAGATAAATATCAGTAACTAGATTCTGTATATTTTAAGATTAGCCAAACACAGAAAAACATACCTTGTCCTTCACTAGTCACAATTCCTTTTCCTGAAGCCAAGGCTGATCCTTGACTAATGTGACTGTCTGCATTTGAACTACTCCAGTCAGTGGCAGATGGGGAAGGTTTTGCACTGGGGACCACAGAATCTAGGAGAGAACAAGTGGAACAGATTAAACTAAAGTAATGTTGTTATTGACTTATTTATTACAGGTAGGGTTTTTTTGTAAAAGTCAGGTCTAGACAGTGTACAAGTATCATATACAGGTTAACTGCTATAAATCCTGTCACTACATTTTTGCTCATTTGTTTGTTTTAAAAAGAGAATGCAAAACCAAGCTCAGAAACAACTATCAAAGCAGCAGCAAAACTATTTGTCCTAGCACATGTCTGCACTTAACAGCATTCAAACAAGAAACTTCTCCAGACTGCCTTCTTTCCATTTAGCAATAAACTTTCCTTGGATATTTACACCAAGTTAACAGTGACAGGATGGTAAGAAGGGATGAGAAAGATACATTGTACAAAGAAAAACATGCTGCTTTAAAGCATAAATAGATCCTGCCAGTGATATCGCAAACAGTAGAAAAGTCATCTGTATGTTCAGTGTGCATATAGGCACTGCATTAAAGCTGATCTTTACATTCACTGGAGTAGACATCCAGTCTGCTTCAAAAATAACTAAGAAAATGCTTGCAACTTGCTATTAGTTTAAATACTTCACCAAATTCTCTCTACTAAATTCTAAATTATCTAGTACAATCAGTGATATTAAATTCAAATAGTAATGCACCAGGAGAAAAGTTTCATTCTGACAAAGTATCAGATACTATCCCTCTAGGAAAGCAGTCATTTTGCCCAAATGCTAAAAAATACTGTGTGATGTTTTAGTTCAAATAGCACACCGCCACACATTCCTATAGCAAAAATTCAAATTTTATACGGACTAGAGCTAAAATTCCACTCCAGCAGTTTTAGGATCTGCAAAACAGATAAAATTAAACAGTTCCCATTGTCCAGTATAGCAAGAGATGCTTGGACTGGGTTTGTGTCATGGCTACTTTAATAATATCTGCCAGAACTGGGAAATGGAGGGAGGGAGATAAAAAATAAATAGAACTATTCTACAAGCTCAGCCTCCATTTTTTCTTTTTGGGAAGATCAGTGTTTCTCTTATGTCCCAGCTGAAAAGTGAGACTTCTCCTCCCAAGATAGCCCAGAAGAGTATTTGCAAGTCTCCAGTTTCTCCAGACTTCTACTCTCATGGAGCTGAACTGTATCTCGTAGGAGAAAGCCACAGAGAGAAGCCAGGCAAGTCTCCATTAACACTCCAAGCAGGAGAGGCCAAGCCTCGTGTCAGTTGTTGGACTTACACCTCTCCATAATTCCTATGCCATCAACGTGTCAGCAAGTTCATTGCTATTTCTGTGCTACAATCAACTGCCTCCTTTATGATATTTCTTGTAATGTTGGTTAATCCTTTCCACGCGTCATTTCCAAAATGCATAATCAGAAAACTTGGCTTTGTCAGTTTGTAAGTCCAGGCACGAGGTTGTTACCCTGTATGTCCAAAAAACTGCCTCTAGAAACTCAAACACTGCTGTATAGTTTTTAGGAGTATTTTAAAATAAATAAATAAATCACTAGTTTACAGAAAAATCCTCTGACATTCTACACTGTATAACAACTCAAATTGCTCACTAAGAGGATTACTTAATTTATAACACATTGAATCATATAGCCTCAGTGCTTACAAAATACATTCACTGGGGCAGGAAAATTGCCAAGTAGTAAGACTGACATCTGAAATAATACTTCTTTTTAACAAAAAAAAAAAAAAAAAAAAAAAAAAAAAAAAAAAAAAAACCCAAAAAAACGCCAAACCTCACACAGAGAACTGGTAGATAAGAAAACAAAACATTTCTGGAGAAGAAATATTAATCATAAGCTATTACCTGCAGACGCTTTAGCTTGTGAACTGCTCCCAGCTCTCATGTTGGGCAGAGTTTGTGTTTTCAGTGGACCATCAGGTACCTGCAAAGCTTGTGTCCCATCTGAAAATGCTGGTTTTACCAAAAGTTCAGGTCTGGAAGCAATACGTGGCATAGTAGAGGACTGGATATAAGGACCTACTGCTGCCACTCGACTTGGAGCAGAAGCCACTGGCTGGGGTAAATTCCCATCGGAAGAAGCCTTTGGAGGAAAAGAAAAAAAAAAAAAGAAAAAGAAAAGAAAATTTAAAGAATGTTATGCTGCAGTATCCATCCATCAGAGTTTGAAATAGAAGTCAAAAAGGATAAAACAAGTAGAAAATTATACTCCAATATTAAAAATGCCTTTTTAAAAAAGCTTTAAGAGATATAAACATGAGATAGTAAGAGGGAAAATAAAAATTATCTAAAAAAAAAATCCATGACAGCATAAGAAGAGTTCTTGTCCATAAAGAATAGGTAGGTAAACACCAATGTACCATGAAAAGTATTTTAATAATACAAGATTTCTACCATGTATGGATAAAAACAAGTCTAGCATCTGAACAGCCTTCCACACAAATAAGTTTTTACTTCAGACTGTGGGCCACAAATGAAATTAATTTTTTTGTTATTAAATATCCCACACTTACTGGTACATTTTCTTTCTGTTGCAGAGCTGCCTTTTTCTTCCACAGGCGCTCTCGCAGCTCATTAACACGCTTATCCATGACTGCCACCTCCGAGTTGCGCTTGTTCAAACACTCCCTCTGTTGCTGCAGCTTGGCATTCTGCTCCTGGTTCAGTTTGTTCCTCAACTGAATAAATTCACAAAGCAGGGGGGGAGGAAGGGAAAACAACAAAAATCCAAACAAATTAACTTTCAGGATGGTGGACAGGAAACAGTTACAAAGAGAAAAGCCTTCTAAAAAGTCAAGTCATGCTGGCAAACTCAGATTGTTTTCTCCAGAGAAAGTGTTGGTTAGTCTCCAAATTTTGCAGAAAGGAAAGGTGTATACACTGCATGCTCCTTCCCCTGTTTACCCTGAACCCAGTACAACTAACCCTCCATCCTCAGCACGCAGGCAACCACGCAGCTCTGTCAGGAACAGGAGCAATGGGATTTTTTTTCCACGGCGGTAAGAAACGACCCAACCAACTTTTAGCCCTTAAGAGTTGTAGGTCACGAGCTAGCTTTCCATTACCTGCAGCTCCTTGTACAGGCGGTCAAGCTCAGCTACAGCCGACTGGTTGTCGTGGTAACCATCAATTCGGCCGTTCTTCAGCATCTCCAGTTGCCTGGTGAGCTCCTCTACCTTTGACACTGCCAGCACCAGCTCGCGCTGCTTTTGCTGGAACAGGCTGTTCATCTGTTCAATCTCCTCCACTGGAGAGGACGAGAGAGCACAATAGCTGCCCTGAGGAACGGACGAGCGTGGGCTGCTTCCAAGGCAGCGGTTAAGGGGACAGGGAGCGCCCTGCCGGCCTCCGGAGCAGCGCTGCACAGAGGCTGCGGCCAGCTGCCGCAAGCTCATGGTCCCCGTCAAACCAGCTCTTCCTTGAAGCATTTGTAAAAGCAAAGGCGTTAGCAAGATTATGTAAATTTGGTCTACTTAGAGCACTAATGGGGAGGGGAAGAAGAACTTTTTTTTTTTTTTTTTTTTTACTTTCTGAGGTATGGAAATGAACAAAACCACATTACCAGGCTGAATTTCATCTGCAGGAGCCTAAATTCACTTAATGCTGAATTCCGCAGGAAGACATTCACTCAACCACAAGGCATATTTATGATATTTAAAACTCTGAATTTAGGTCATAGGAACTCAATGACAAAACACTCAAGCTGTTATATTAAACAAAGACTCAGAGGGCTTTTTAGGGTCTCTACAAGCAGCTGTCATCAGCTGCTCCCACTGCCAAAACTGTTGCATTACAGAACAAAGTTTAAGGATCAGTAAGAGTTCAAGCAAGGACCAAGATCAGACCTGCTGGAGAGGGTGCAGTGAAACAGATACACATGCTCCAAGATCTTGTATTATTCTACCATCCTTCCATTCCCTTAAACTGATGTTTATTTTGTGCAACAGAAGCCAAACAGAAAATGCATTCTCCCCACAGAAAAACACTTTTGCTTTATCTGTAAAGCACAATGCTTCCTAATAAAAGAATGTATTTTGATTTTACCTTAATAAACCAATATATTTTCATTTGAGTCCAGCTGGAAGTTACAAGTTCTGTACAATATGTATAGAGGGAGGATGAAAAGGTAGGCAGAAGAATGTGTGTTGATATGAAGTCTGAAATATTTAATGTTGAAGCAACATGCTGAACTGCAAGCACCCAACTAGTACTGTAGCATGCCAGACACTAGTCGGATTTCCATAATTAAAAAGAAAATACTCAGCCACTTTGGCCATTAAATTACCTCTTGCATAAGAAACAACATGGGTATCAGGCCAAGAAAATAACACTCTAAATGTGCAAGGTATTAACATCAAGCATGGAAAAAGTTACTGTGGTACACAAAAGCATTCAAGTAAGGAAAAAGCCTACACTGTAATTAAAGAGCAGATACACTAGGCTCAAAACACAGGGTGCCCTTATGAGATATTTTAAAATACAGTGAGAAAATATACTTTGTTCTAGGTCATTCAGGAGATTTCTTGGTAAATACAAGATGTGAAATTGTTAAGATTAACATTTCGTGGAACACCATAAACACCTCCTCTGAATCACTGAAATCACCAGAAATTTTAGAGTTCCAAGAACCACACTTCATGAAAAATCACAGGCTACTTTCCCCAGGCAGCAACTCACCTAATTTCCCATTGCTGAGTCTTTTTTGTTCCACATGGCCTTTCAGTGCTCTCACTTTCTTAAGTTTGGCTTCCTGATTCTCAGCAATTTCCTTTAATCGCTTCAGCTTTTCCTGTTCAGCAGCTTGCTGTTGCTGTCGCTGATCTTGCTGTTTCAGGAATTTCAGGCGCTGTTCCTGCAGTCAAGACAAGGAATTTCTTTTTTCAAATTAACTTATGGTAAGGTACTGACTCAAAACTTAAAAACAATCACCACAGCAGCTCAGATCAGCTTTATCCCAGTATCCTGACTTCCCAGAGTGTCAAGTGAAGCCCGAGAGAACAGAGCAAACATGTACCGATTCTGCCCCAATACAATCCTCCAGGTACAACGATTCTGTAGTACAAGAACCTACTGAAACAGAGGTGGTATCCATACCTAACAGCCCTTAGTAAATTTTTCTTCCATGAAATTGCTCAAAACCCTTTGAAGGCCAAGAAGAATTTTAGCATTCACATTCCATGACATCTGCCGTTTCATTTAATCACTGCTTGGCTCTTGAGTTGTGAAAGGTAATGATTATTTCCTCTCTACCTTCTCCATGCTGCTTGTACTTTACAGATCTCTATCATACGTCACATTTTAATCAACTGTAAGTCATGCTGGAGAATATTACACGTTCTTTATACAGAAGGTATTCCATAAATTATTGATAATTTTCATCATTCTTTGTACTTTTACTAGTTCTGCTAGAACCTCCTTGAGATGGGGGACCACTGCACACCAAAGCTCTGCAATTTTACCATTTCCTGGTAATGATCACCTCTATCACAACGCAGGATGATTCAAGACACAAGAAAACCTTCACAGCAAGCTGTGCCCCATTTATACAACAGACATCATCTCAGTGGAGAGGATCCTTTTGCCTCTCCAAGAGTATAAGAGCAAAATGGTGCACTATCAGTTTCTATATACAGATGTCTGTATATAAAATATATATACTATATACATATATAA